ATAATTAGCGGAGCACATCTGCCATTAAATTGACGTAACTTATGTCTTCTAAATGTACAAACGTTCTGGCCTAGTGAAAAAGGTGCACAATTTAACTAAAAAAACTCTCTTTCAGGTACCAAAAAAACACCAGGRAATGTGCAGTGACTTCACACTCAATTGTTTATTTAAAATGAATCTATAAATTTGTCATGATAGCTGGCAGAAAACCTGGACGTTGAGAGAAGAGAGCCCCTGGCAGCTGCCRATGAACTGGCCTTATCTGCTCTCCTCAGTCCAATCAGCTTTGGGCACACACACTACAGTCAATCAAACACTCATGAAACCTACAGATAGCCACACACACACACACACAGAGGGGGGGGGGGCATACCCACTCACATACAACATCAGATTTGTAACACTTTTATGTTGTGGTAATGTGTATATGTTTATATGTTTACTCACTTGGTGCATAGCCTTGTCTGTCTACACCGACTACAGTCCATCAAACACTCATGAAACCCACAGATAGACACACACACACACACAGATAGAGAAGAGGAGGGGGTTGCATGCACACTTTGATGTTAAGCACATACAAGCTCATAAAAAATCTGGTTTGCAACAAGTTAATTATGTTCTGGTGAGGTGTAAATGTTTACTCACTTGGTGAATATCTGACTTCACCGGAACCAACGCTCACAAACCCCGTCAATCCAGTAAGAACTATGTACATGTGAAGCCCTAGAGGGACAGGATTTCATAAAGAGGAAGACACAGAGAAGTGAGACTTGAATACATTACATGTGTGTGTGTGTGTGTGTGTGTGCTTGTGTGCGTTTGTGTTTGAATCAGATTGATTTCTTCTCACTTACCCAGAAACCAAACGTCTGTCCATCTCCAAAAACAATCCTCACAATCCTGAAATTGAACCCTAAAAACAGTAAATAACAGAAAAAAAAAACAGATGTAATGCATGTTAAGGGGGGGAAAGGAAAAAAGTTTTAATTTCAAGCCAAACAATTACATTCATTTCCATAACTATAATACTTACTTTGTGAAAGCAAGTCGTCGCCACAACCTGAGACAGAGGCTTCCTAAAAGGAAAAAGAAGACAATCAACAATGAAAGTGTTATGCCTTTTATTCCTTACTATCAAGTTTAGGTAATTTTGAAGAGAAACAAAACTAAACTAATATTAAAAATATTGTCTTACTTTAGTAGAGTAGGAGCTTCCGAAGCAGTTSACTTTTTTCGGCCACTCTGTCTATGACACTGTCTGTGTCCAATCCCATGAGGATGTCCTTTTCTGTGGACATCAGCATGAAGGCCTCCAATTTACCAGCAGATAAGCTGCTCCTCAGCCTGCTCTTGATGAATTTCAAAGTTGAAAATGATCTTTCACAGGCTACCTGTGTCACTGAGAGTGTCAGCAGATATTTGTAGGACAGAGAAAGAAGAGGGTATGCGTCTGTGAGCAGGTTGAATCTGAGGAGAATCTGGTAGCAACACAGGGGGCAGTTTTTACATGAGGCACAGGCTTTGCTGACAATTTTCATCTCCTCTGGGTCTCCACCAGGTCCTTCCTCCACAGTACGGGATGTGTACTCATCTAGTGGTGGACGTTTCAGCATGTCCCACTGGCTTGCCAAGCTTTCAAGTTCAGATTGTAAATTTGATATGGTTGCCGAATTGTTAAATTTGATGAGACATCTGCTTAGGTCTTTCAGTGCAGACTCAGGAAGACCACTGGTTTT